TTTTTTGGTCAATGATTTTAGACGAAATCCCATTAAAACGTTGTTACGTCCAGAGTATGTAGTCCTTTCTAGTGATCTATTTATCTTACTTGATTTTTATGATACCTGTAGTTCTAAACGCCGTACTTCCAGATACGGCTTCGGCAAAATACTCCAATTTTGCTAAATAATAAAAAGCTTCTACCGCAGAATCAGGGCTAGAGTGCTATATTCAGTCGTGGGTCGTATGTTTGTTAAGGAGCAGGGTAATTCATGTTGAGCTAGTAGAGATGCACCCCGCAGGGAGCAGTTATTTCCCTGCTTTGAGGCTTCGGGTGTTGCATAAACAACTACTAGATTCTCAGGCCATCAATAAAGTATTTTATTTATTTTTACCGATGCATTTCGGTTGGCAGTTGAGCAACCATCATAAGCCAGCGTCAAGTGAATACTAATTAAGACGACAAAAGTAGACAGTGCAATAAATAAAAAACTTTGATTTTGCGGTCAAAAAGGTAAACATTTAAATTAGAACTGGAAGCGTGTCTTCGTCCATCACAACATGGTCGTTTTGGTTTCTCGTTTTTCGATCCGGAGGTAGCCATGAAGCTCCATTAATTTTCTGTTGCTGGAACCTCATGCTGCAGTTTTCCATGTTTCGGACTCCGGTGAAGTCGATCAACCCCAGACCGTTATCGTAGTTTTTGTCGTGGAGGCTGCCATTGCAGTCGGGGAAAGGATCGTATGTGCATTTAAAGCGTTCAGAGAACAGGTCTTTGGTTGCCTCGTCCTTCTCTTCCCTTAGGATTTGGCATAGAAACACGAGGTTTTGAAGAGTCTCCGGGTTGTGGCGAGAAACTCATTCAGCATGGGGAACAACAGTACCCGCGACGGACTTTCTCCATTATCACAAATCTGACCCCGAATTTCTGTTGTTTTACATGGTAGCAGTAATAGATGCCGGAAGGTTCTACGGGTGCTCTACCTAGTGGTGGTGATGTCAGCATCTGTCCTTAGAAGGACAACCGAGCAGTGGCACCTTCCCGATTGAGTGTCCGATTGGGTGTCCAGGTGCATGCCCTGAAATCGTTGTCCTTTAAGCATTGCCGTCAAGAGAAGGGGTCACATTCGAGGCTTTATTTTACCATTAATTAGAGTTTGTTCCTAAAAGCAGAACTCAACTTTTACTGGGGATTATACTTCTCTTGAGCTGATGGACCCGGATGCAAAGTAATCGTTTTTGGCCGCCCCATGTTGAATGTCGATCAATACGTTTCTCCATATGCGCGGACTTCTGACCCGGAACCATCCTACTGCACCCAGAACTACCCGTTTGATTTCGAAATCACGAAAGAGACCAAACGGCGACACCAATTTCAAAATAAATGTTAAGCAATAAATACCTGAGTTAAGCGCTAAAGCATAAAAATATCATAAAAATATTTACACCCCTCCGTATTTAATTGAAGTGGGCACATATTGTTCAGTTTATTGTTCAACCTGTGCAGCTCTCAACCATTTCACAGACTGTTGTTTTAACATTAAGTTAAGTACTCCAAGCATAAAAAACACTAAATATATATTTATTTCAAGCGAATGACATTAGAAAACAAAGAATGAAACGAAAAACGCTAAACTCAACTAGACACTTTAGCCACGCAAAAAGGCCACAGAATTCTCTTAATCCATGCATTAAAAGAACACTAGCAGCAGTAGTTGAGCAACCAACCAAGCAACTAACTTACAACACCAACGTATTCAACAACTTTTAGGTGCTTGCCAGCAGCATTCATTAACCAACAGCAACGCGGCGAAACAAAAGCAGCGTAAAAACAATAAAATATTTAGTACTGGAATGAAAAATATGCTGCCTGACCGACTTAATACGCGCGCGAGCATTTTAAAGGCGTGAGCTGAGCTGCCTCCCATAGTATTTAGGTGCAACAATACAGTTTTTGACACTTGAACTAAAACCACTTGGCT